AAATTGGGAATGGCGAAGCGAGATCAGCGATACCCACCGGTCTTACAGGCAACGTTGGCGTCATTTATGATACCAACATTTCCATCCTAACTATGATTTTCCCTACCTTGATTAGCCTCACCTGACGCTTTCTGAAGTAGTGAAAAAGACAGGTGGTCTGCGAATTTCGATTGGCCTGAAGACGCTAAACCAAGCTCTCCAGTGAAAACGGCCCCATGGCCAATACTATACATACTTCCGGAACTTGCACAAGCTGTAGTGTTGTCTAAACTTTCACTTAGAAAGTGAATATTATTACCGTGTCTTATACCATGAATCGAGCATGCTGGCACTATTTCAGACATCGATTGGACAATACAGCTAACTAGGCCTACCATTTTGCTTCATTGAAAGTGGTGAGATTTTTCAAAAACGACTACCAACTGCTCTGGATTACCTGCAAACTAAGTATGTGTCGATAACGAGATACTTGCACTTCGCACGAGCCGAAATAAGGATGTGGCAAAACTTTACCACGACCAGAGTGGGCAAGACTGCTTGACAGGTAAGCAAAGGAACGTATTAATCGGAAAAAAATCAAACCCGGAGCCAAACAAGGAAGGAGTCTCCTTTCATGGCTACAAACTTGCAGCCAAAGGACTCGTTATAGACCAAGACAAGATCAAAACAATCATGAGATGTCTCTTAGCACTCACGTTAATTGAGTACTAAGGCTATGCAGCATGAAAACCTACACTGCAAGTCTTCTACCGAGCATACCGACAATAATAGAACCAATTACAAGACGGACAGTCAAGGATTCCAAGCAGACATAAACAGCACACCTGGATGAGACCTTGGAAAAGGTGGAGGATCTAGAGACCACTCCACTGAAACTAGCCTTCTATTATGAAAAAAAGCTCTCACAAATCATGGGGTTAAGAGCTGTACTTCAGCGAGAAATCTCGCCTGTCTCCTACGCTTACACACCATACCCACCAAAAAATGCGATCTTGGGAGATTCGAAAAGAGACGCTGAAAATTGTGTTCGCTCTACATAAGTTTCATTAGTATGAATTGGGCTGACACGCGAAAATAATCACAGAGCACAAGCCATCGCAGTTCATTGTCAAGAAGCCTCTCGATAAGGTTGCACAACAAATCGAGGGCAGGCTGCTGCAGATTCAGCTTTACTACGACAAAGCTGAGTGTCGCTTAAGCATGAAACTCGTCATTGCAGACACTATGTCGAGGAGAATTCTTTCAGAGACAAAAATCAGCCTATAACACAATAAAATAAATATCATTGTGTGCGGAGAAAGAACCCTTGGAATAAATCGAAAGCGCTACAGCACAGGACAGAACAATGCAGAAACGTTCGAGTGTTATCTACTGTGGTTCGCCAGACGAGAGGAAACACGTTTGAGCTAGTATAACACCATACTTTGCCTACCGGGGTGAGCGTACACCAGATGGTCTGTTCTACAAAGGTAAACGTGCATTGTCATCCCATTAAGCATGACAGAGGACATCAAGAGACTGCACGCCTCACGCCTATGAATGAAAACTAGTCCACGTAGGGCTCGAGAAAGCGTGCAATGGGCCCAAATGAACGCCGAGATGAAGTACTACATCGGAACGTGCGAAACATGCCAGGTACACGATAACAGACAGCAGAAGGAGACGCTGATGCCTCATTTAAAAACTCATCGACAACAGGAAATAGTTGTTATCAACCTAATGGAGCTGCAAAGAAAATATTTCCTTATAATGGTTGACTAATTCAGTGGCTTTTAGGAAATTAATCAACTGCAGTCCACTACAGTCATAAGAAACAGAATGCCAGGTATGGAATAATGGAGGTCATCATTAGTGATAATGAGCCTCAATCAGCGTGCGTGAATTTAGCAAACTTTGCGGTAGAATGGCAACTTTAGCTATGTAACTCGAGTCCTGGATATGCGATTGGGAATGTCCTGGGCTCCCCAACAAAATGGTGGAATTAGCTGTAAGGACTGCCAAGATCTCCCGAAGAAAGCACTAGGGAGCGATTGTGACTAATATTTAGCCACCTTAGACTACCGCAGCAACCCACGGCAACAGATGGAAGCCAGCCCAGCTTAGTTACTCATGGCTATAAAAACTAAAACAACTATCAACTAAAGCTTTGCTGAGCCCAGAGGTTGTTAACTGTGAACAGGCAGCCGCGAAGGCCACATGCACCAAGTGGCACTAAAACAAATATATCAAAAACTTAGCCCCCCCCCCTAGAGAAAGAGAACACTGTGTCTGTCCAACCTTTTGAACAAAAAGACAAGTGGTGCAAGGGCACTGCGACTAAACGGTTGAGCGCAAGATCATATGAAGTGGAATTTGAAGGAAGTCAGCTAAGACGGAAAAGGCGTTACCTCGAACATGGTCCGAAATCCAGCGAAACATCGCAGCAAACGCACAGTAGACCTGAATACAACATGAGAGCTTCCATCCCTTTGAGGAAAAACACAATCATACAACGTGATGAAAACAAGACTCCCTTTGAGAAAATGAACGAAGAGCCAGTCAACACAACTGGAAATCCGAACCGAAACCAACACATGCCTAGCCGTTTCAAAGACTGCACTCTGTATTACACTGCGCAGCCAAAAATCACAGGATGTTAGAAGAGTAATACCATCTTCAGCAGCTACATCTCTATGACATCATTACACTGCTATGATCATCATCAGAGACATTGAATCACTCGCATAATAAACATTACATTCGAGTAAAGCACGTCCAGTCTCCTCTTTGCCGCCTTTTCAAATGATGCTTAACCAATCCTCATGTCAAAGAAACAGGAGACAAGGTTGATTTTCAGTGGTTACCTGGTCAAATTTGTGGAATCATCACAATGATCCGGCAGGCAACACGGCTCTCACATCCCATCAAGACCACCAATCTGGTTCTTTTTTCAAAGACAGATGTTGCAAGGCATCTTCCTCACCTGGCACATAGTCGCTGTCTGGTGGAGGGGAACACGCCAAGCATAGCGCCTACGAGACTCCACCATAATCCTACACTAGGACTCCAGCAACCATCTAGACTTTGTCGACTTGAAGCTTCGCTTTGTTGCCAGCTATGGTGGGGCGTTGCCTTTAAAAAGCCTTTCCAAATACGCAACGCTGATTGGTGTGACTGAGAGTGCACCACCGGAGGTCCGTGGCACCGGACAAGACATAAATAGTTTGCTGCATCCGTGCCCTGAATTTGCCTCTGAGACAGGAGCACTTTCTGACACGTTGAGACAATTGAAAGGTCGCTATCTATGCATATGATGCCAGAGCCCTGTCCCTATCACTCGTCGGCTCATAAGCGATCGAAGCACGTATGTGCTTTTGAGCACATACAGGCCCACACGAACGCCTTTGTCTTTTGTATGGTGTCACCGCAACTTTGGCGTCAGCACATTTATTAACCATTTCCCTATTTCATTCCTTTACCTCCTCTCTCTCTCTCTCTATCATCCTAATACTGTCCTTTGCCATTCACCGAGCATACGGCAGCCAACCAGGCATGTACCTGGTAGCCTTCCCACCTTCTTTCTTTTTTTCTTCCTTGTACAACTTATCTGAAACTGAGAAAACCCAGATAGACTCTGTATTTAGAGCGGCTGTTAAGCTGCCCCACTATGCTTCAACACAGCTACTTTTACGCCTTGCGCTTCAGAGCAGTGAATATTCATGTTAGCAGCCAAACTCAACTCTTCCAGTGGGTAAGACATGGTTTTCTTTCCTATCTCGTTTGACATACGCTATGCCAAACAAATGTTGACATGAGTGGAAGAATTTTGCACATGACGTTCGAAACAAAATTCACTTGTCCCTGATTACCCGGAATATATGCACCGTGACTGACATAAAGGCCTGAGAAGTTCGATTGTTCAAGCTCTAGTGAAAGTCCTAGGGGATACATAGGGATGATCTCTTATCGCGAAACAGCCCCGCAAAAAAGAAGTGCAAGACGAAGCGCTCATAAAAACGGACTTGTCGTTCTTTCTTGTGGTGCAGTTTCGCGCTAACAAATATTCCCCATGGATTCACACCAACTAGGCCGCGAATGCACTCTTTTAGGCGATAACACATGTCACACATGAGTCTTATACAATAATGTGACCCGGTATCTACAACAAAAGGCCAGCTTATTACCCATATAGGATGCATACGTCACGTAATCATAATCATTACCATTAGTACCATACCCTGATGATCATCATATCCTACGTCGGTTGATCACCCTACCCCACGAGATTGGCCGAGAAATGTTCAAGTTCTAAAGAAGAACGACGCATTACAGCCACGCAAACAACAAACAATCCTGACATGTGACGCCAACTAGCATTTCTGGAGTGCATAGCTACATAGTTCGTTCCAGCAGTTGGTTGGTGAATGCGTCGACTTGGAAAGCATCATGTCACATGGCACACAAAAATTTTATGTCGTTCTTACCTTCCGGTCAAGCATGTAGGCTCTACATTTATTGTATATCGTGCCGTGAAAAGTAAAACTGTGATTTAGCTGATTTTCAAAAAAAGTCGCGCAAACTTAAAAACATCCGTAAGAATTTCACGAAAAGAAATCCTATTTGCCGGCGAGTAATCTCTTCTGGTTGGAAGATTAAAACCCTCAACAAACACTGAACCCTTGCCTTGACGTGGGAAACAATGAGGAGCGTTTCGCCATCGCTATTACCTAAACTTCGTCTACAAACACTGTTATTCTGTAAAAAATCAATAGTTGGTACAACAAACAGCAATTAAGCTCATTACCAGAACTACCAGCGAATTGCCAACACTACAATGAAAACAATCGCAATATTCTTCGTATCACCAGTGTATCTTCATTAAGCTGCACATATGCACATATATTAAAGTATTGGGAATTGTTCATACTTGCACGAGTGTCTGGAAATAATGAAGCGTTACATTCTCGACACTAGTAGAATGCCGGTATTTTCAAAATGCTGTTACATGGATCTAACTACAGTGGCACCTGGGATACTTCAGCTTCAACTACACTCCAACATACCGTGGCTTCGACAGCTTCGTTGGAATGCACGTCGGTCCCACAGACTATTATACTCATGTGCTGAAATGGGTGAGTGTGCTTTTGCTGTTTGAAGTTTTTTCCGTCTTTTTTTTCAACCACAAGTGTACTCAACATCGACAATACTAGTTTACAGAACAGTGTGTACGGGGAGTGTGTGTGAGATTGGTGATACACAAGGAGCCGCAAAGTTAAAAACAGTCGTGGAGAAGGGGGCAGAGGCTCCCATACATGCTGTGAATGGGAAAGAAGACATACATAATGCAATGCTTCACTCAAATGGACTTCTAGTTCATTCGATAAAACTTCTTTTTCACAGTAGTGTCCTTGGCAAGCTAAAAAAAGCAGGGAAACACCCTCAGTTGCAACAACAAAGAATTAGCAATACGAGAGGGTAGAGTCTTTCTGGCACTTCAGCACCCTACACTTAAAGTTGATAGCTTCTGCAGTTCTGAGCTTGCAGGAAGAGCGGAACTGAACGACCTTCATGGTTTTTCGTGTTTTAGAAGCTAGAGTGAGCTCGACCAAACATTTTCTTGAGTTTATCGGATGCGCATGGATTAAAACTAGCTATCGATTGACTATTCTTTGGAAATAACGAGGTGTTGACTTCAAGCTTCCGGCTGGGCTGAGCTCCACCAAGTATTTTCTAGAATTTATTTCTTCGTGTTCAATTACTGATCAATTGATTTACATGTAATTGATTGGCCACTACTGTTTATCATGCCTTTAGGCTAGGCAAATGCACTGCTGCTACATAAAAAAATATGGCATGACCTGCTACGTGACGCCAAAGCGGCATCTCAGCCCTAGTTCACCTCGCACCCACTTTGTTGCCACTGTTCTTGTATAGCCGTTCACGGAGAAGCGCACACAGAAGCACTCGTACAGGTGTTAGTCACTATATTGAGGCATGAATAACGCGCTTTATAGTTGCACATTAAATGGCCGAATGCTGAAGCCGTTATTAGATGTGCCATTTAGTTTAAATATCCAAATATGTGAAACTTTTGGCTTAGGAATGCCAATATTTTGTAGAATGGGCCTGAATACTCCTCCATGAACGTTGCTCCCATGACTAACCTTCAATGAAAAGCTATCACTAATACCGTAAATCGGGAGGCAATTGCCGGGCCGCTTCCAAGGGCTGAAGTATCGACCCATCTAAACCAACCACAAGTGCATAGATAATTTCATCGTTGATAGCTTTAGTGCTTCGCCGTACACCGGTTTTGGTTCAAAGACCGGTTCAGAACTAATAGTTGACAACACAAACGAAATGTATTCTCAGTAAAGGCCGTACAAACATTACACACACATGCACACTTGGCAGTATGAAATACAATAGAAAGATAAACTACAAACTCTTTAGGAACATTTATAAGGCCTCGAATACCCCCCATGCGTGTCCAGTTCTCCAATCTTCAAACGTGTCTTGCCTGTTTCTTTTGCAGAAAACACACCAGCGCTGATTATCGTCGTTTTCTTCCATAATTAGTCGTCCTTCTCTTCCATCGCTCGTTTGTTACATGCATCCTCAGCGACACTTCAAAACAGTGATCCTGTAAAGTTATCATTACAATCTTGAAGATCCACTCACCACAATACACGACACACTCGAACAACATAACTTCTTCAATGACTACACTATCCTGTCCTACCTTACGGCGTGCATCACTTCGCTCCTTCCCGGTTTCGTGGACATTCTACGCGATTCTTCGGTGCGAAGCACGTGGCACAGCAAAAGCTAGGGTAGAGGGATAGATACTGCTCGCTGGTACGTCTTCTGATTCCGTCAGTGCCACTTTCATTTCTAGAATCCTGCTGAAAATGCACGGGCGTTAGCTAAGATCTGCCAAACACTTTGTTTGAATTTATTGGTTACTGATCAATTCTAGGTTAGGCATTAATTGAATACGCATTGTTTGTCACATGGTACCTGCTGCTTGCTAGGCTTGAACAGCATCAATCATATACCGTTTTTTTTTTTTTGCGCAAGCAAATCGTTATTTTCGCAGGCACTGTGGTACAGTATAAACTTCTGAGAAGGAACGACGTTACGACGGGATTTTGTGTAACTTTTGGCTTCTAGGATGGACATAAGGGTCTCGACTTGTGGGACAACACTGAGCCTCTCACAACAGAGAATGGAACGTACGGTACTGATTTGTTCACAGAGCGGGCCAAGTCGGTTATCGCCAACAGGGACAAGTCAAAGGTGGGCACTTATTGTTTTCGACGTTCCCAGTAACAAGCAATCACGTGTTTTAAAAATGCTCTCCCCTAGAGCAATACAGTCGTCAGGTAAAAATGTACTTCTAAATAACTTGTTATTAAACTAACAATTGTGGTGGGCTGTTGACGTATCGTGACTCGATTCAGACCGTGACAGTCACCTTTCGATGAAGGCAAAATGGTAGAGGCCCGTGTACTCTGCGTTGTCATTGCACGTCAAAAAACACCAGATGGTGGAAATTTCCGGAGCTCCCCACTACGGCCGGTCTCGTAATCATGCCGTGCTTTTTGTAATCGTAAAACCTCCGATATTATTGCTATTATAACATTAATCATATTATATCAAACTTGGATTGGAATCGAGTATTTTTGCGCAGTTGTAGCGCAATGTTCTCGTTGCTACTTGGTCGCCGCCGGAGAGGTGATATTAACACACAACATATTCACAGAGGTTTGCCTGGTTTTCTAATTAGACTGATTACACAATTCTCTCATTATACTAATTAGTATTTCTCTAATTAGACAATTTACAGACTTGTACAGTACCTAACTTTCTGGCAAATGTAAGCAGCACTCACTGCAACCTGCTCTCTTGGTGTCGCCTGCGCGAATCTCGTCGAACTCGATGGGCAACGTTCCGAAACCACTCCAGAGACCGAACAGAAAGGATAAATTAGAATTAGAAGTTTCCGTTCAACAATCCCAACTGGGTGACACGTATTCAAACAAGGACAGCCAATCTCTGGTGGTCTTCACCAAGTTCCAACTCTATGACAGCCGTCCACCAAAGTAATATTAAACCGAACTAAAGTAAAAATACAGAGAAAACTACCAAGACACCCGTCAGCCTTCCACCATGCAGTTTACCCAACATACCCTACAAAATGACTTATACCAAATACATAGCCATCTGTGTCCCCCAAAAGATGAGCAAGCATCAAGCCTCTCATCGCAAGAAAGACAACACTGCCACTCAACAAAGGCACTGAAGAACTCAAAAGCACCTCTACGAACCTCACTGTTGGCCAGACTCACCACAGGCAAGGAGCCAATAGTTGAAAAAAATGCTGACTAACGGTTACGCGAGAATATTTTCGAATACAAAGGGTACCACTTATGGTATTTCTGAAAAAAGTCACAGTTCGCCGAAAAGGCCACGCAATGAATGCGATAGATACATATTCGATTGTTTTATGAAGCAAGGTTTGCATTTTTAGGAGAAATAATAAGTGCAGTAGACGAGCACTTGCTAAGTGACCAAGTTTTTTGCGGTGCGGCCATAGCGACAAATTGAAATGTCGTGAGGCTGGCAGCCAACGCATTTCAATCCGATCGCATAGGACTCTACATAACATTGCTGTAAAAAACATGGCCGCTCCGGGTACCTTTCTGGCACCGTTTGTTGTTGTTGTTGTTGTTGCGAGCGCAGCTCGTAGAAGCTCCCGCCAGCTGTGGGGCACGAAAAATGTGCTGACCATTGACAGAATAGTGCGTTGCCACACCTGCCAGTTCGCTACAAATTTACCTGCTACGTGACACCAAAGAGACTCATAAGTAGTGTGACACACTCGCCGCATTGGCTACAGGGGCCGCCGACTACCTTCCCACGTTTAAATCACATATATACCGATTAAAAGTGGCTGGGAGATAGCCGCCATGGTAGCTTCGTTTATAGAGCATCACACGCGTTTTTTGAAGGTCACCGGTTCTGTTCCTGCCCACGGCAAGGTGTCGTTTCATCCACTTTTCATTATTCTCATTTACATTACCATTCGGTTCATTACCTTCTCCTACACTTTCATTGGCAATATTGTCTGTTAGATCTCAATAATTTTGTGCCAAACACGAAAAAAGGAGCCCTTAAGTAAACACTTCTTTCCTCATATACATATATATATATATATATATATATATATATATATATATATATATATATATATTGCTACGAGTGAGAGTTGTTTATTGTACAGGCGGGATGATAGATGGTTGCAGCAGTCTTGTCTTGTCTTGTCTCCTTGGAGATCTTGGCTCATACCCACTTGGGGGATTGGCCACACTGTACCTCATAATAGATAATTTTTTTACAACGCTTGCTAAAAAAATTAAGAGAAATTAGACGGGAACAATAATAATGTTCCTTTGAAAAAACGTGAAAAATTGCATAAGAATGCGATAAACCAGATTATATAAAACAAATTAACAAGAATGAGGAAAGGGGAGAAAAAGTTGGATATATCTGACAGTACAACTAGCAGCGTATCCTTCCGGTTGCCTGAATGAATTTATGTAGCGCTGACAAAATAGCACTGCGGCCCACACCCAACTGACTGGCTCCAAACGATAATAGGGTAAATGTATTGACTGGCAATACAAGCATACCAATCGGTCTTTCAAGAATTATTCGGCGCAGTGAGGCGAAGCGGCGGCATGTGAAAAGAAAGTGATCTATTGTTTCCGGTTCATTGCAAACTACACATAGGTTAGTTAATGAAAATCCTGATTTGTTGAGATAAAAATTTAACAGAGGAACTCTACAGCGAAAGCTTGTGAGGGTCACCACACATTGACCGGAAAAGGCATTCTGCGGTGTTCCATGTGAATTGCAAGTGCCGAAATTCTTCAGATTGTAGAAGCGACGTTTTGTTGATTTTTAAGATGAACAGGCGTTTGAATCGTTCGGCAGTAATAAAAGGAAACTGTGGAGCTACTAGCACCACCGGGAAATTTAAAGATGCCGAAGCGAGCGAATCAGCAATTTCATTTAGTTCAATTCCAGCATGCCCGGGGATTCAAATAAACCGAACTTCTGATAAGCTATGCGTTACGAGAGACCAAAATATTCTGAGAAGAGGAGACTTCTTTGCGGACGTGAGATGCGTACATACAGACAAAGAATCCGAAATAATAATAGCTTTTGATTGCTGATAATTTAGTTTTCGAAGAGCCAATGTAATAGCCAGGCATTCTGCGAGATAAATTGGTGTGAAGTCAGGCAATCGGAGCGCAAAAGACCAATTAAGCTGATGAGAAAAAATACCTACTCCAGCCTTCTGAAGATTTTGTGTTGCGTCCGTCGAAATTACTACGTATTTAGGAAAATGACTGGGGTGGTCTTGAAGGAGGCCCTCCAGAACATGCTTTGGAAGTAACTTCGCATTTTTTGGAAAAATATCATCAAAAGTTAAGTCAACTGGAACCAAGCATTAGATTTTTAGGGTTAAATGCCGGAGGGAAACGTGAAGATTTGATAACAGAGACTCGACGAAAATGACTTGGGGTCTTTGATAACGAAACCACGGGCGCTGAAAGAAAGAAACTGGATGTTTGATGAAAATTGTCTGTGACCAGAAGAGGGGCGCATCGTAAAGTTTTCAAAATGTTTGCACAGTAAGCTGTCGAAATCCAGCATCAAGTGGAATGATTCTAGCTTCCAAATAAAGCACGCTATTCGTGACACACCTAGGTAGCCCGAGGCACAGCCGCAGAGCTTGCCTTTCTAGCAGTATAAGAGGTCTTAATTTGTACTCAGCACTTCCAGAAAACAGAACGCAGCCAAACTCCAGAACTGGGCGTACGTGAAGTTTGTATATCATAAGTAACGTATCCCTGCGCATCCCTGACTTCTTATTGCAAAACCGGCGGAGCAATCCTACGGCGCTTTCTGCTTTACGGGTGTTTGACTCTATTTGTTGCTGCCAATTTAAATTGTCCACGTAAACAATACCAACATATTTTAGCGCTGTTACTTGTGGAATCGGATCATTTTGATACTGCAGTGAAAGAAATACGGGAACGGATAGAGGGAACACAAGCAGAGCACATTTGCTAACATTAGGTGAAAAAGACAGCCCGCGAAGCCATACCTCAAGCTCACTCAAATATGACTGTAAGATTTGATACAAACTATTGATATCTCGGGATGACGAGAAAAAAAGCAATATCATCGGCGTAGACGTAAAGAGTAACATTTTTATGAACGGGAATAGGTGATAATAATATATTAAATAAAAGAGGTGACAGAACTGATCCTTGCAGAACACCTCTTGTTTGCTTATATGAAGCAGAAGTAATTCCCTCGTGGCAACAAAATAATTGTGTCTCAAAGAGAAACTCCAGAACCCAAGATATAGTGTACTTGGGAACCTCACAGTCCACTAATCAGTGCCAGGCGTGACTAATAAGTCACGCCTGGCACTGAACACATTCACTTATTTCTCCTCTACCACCTTTCAACGAAAGTCCCGTATCATTTCCCCCGTTGCAGACGATGCCCACTGGGCGAGTTAGTGTCATGCGTGGTATGGCTTCAACCGGGCGACATGTACGATGTCAGTTTTCCTGGAGCGATGGCCAGAAGATGTGAGGCGTGGTATCACGTACGTAACGTCACTAAGGCGCGACAGAACTACAAAGGGACCTGTATAGCGGGCCAGAAACTTTCGATACAAACCACTCTTGCAATGTCGAGTCCACAGCCACCTTCCCTGTACGAGACGTTTCGATGTCGCTTATCGTAGTGATCCTTTGAACGGTCTTGGCCTGCGAAAGTCCGGAGACGCACGATGCTCCGTGCCTCCTCTGCGCGACAGAGTGTCTCTGCAAGGGATGAGTTTTTTTTGCTCTGAAAACGAGAGAATTGTGTCGAGGGTAGTACGTGGCTCACGGATGTAGAGAAGGTAAAACGGGCTAAAGCCAGTGGTCTCTTGTAGCGCTGTGTTGTAGGCGTAGGTCATAAACGGTAAAACTTCGTCCCAGTTTTTATGCTTGGAATCAACGTAGATAGCGAACATGTTAATGAGCGTCCTGTTGACACGCTCAGTCAAACCGGTGGTCTGTGGATGGTATGAATTGGCGTGACGAAACTGGGAAGCAGACTGGCAAATGAACTCTTCCATGACGTCGGCTTCAAACTGCCGGCCAAGGGCGCTGATGATGACACGAGGGGAGCCATGCCGGAGGCAGTTGTAGCGTAGCTGGAAGTCA